TTAAAGTCTATAATAAAAGACTTGCGCAGGCGCAGCTATGTGATAAAGTAGCGTTTTTATTAACACATGCGTAATCCGGTGATTCGTGTAAATGAGTAAATTAACATTGACGCTATAATCGTAAAACATTAAACCTTTAATTGGTTTAAATTAATTGTATTTGTGAAAAGTAAAAGTCTTGTATTGTGGTGCAATTGATGGAATTTACGATTTTAGGTTTAAGGGTTTTGTGTTTTGTAATAACGGTTTATGTCGATATCTAAATAAGCTTTATCTACCTATATTATGTAACGGGTACCAATTGTTAGGTCATGAGTATTTTGTAGTGATGTTACAATTATCGATATTTTTATCGGCAAATGAATAATGTTTTTTTAATTTGCGGTTATTATAAGAATAGAATCTTCAAACTGAAATTAAATAAAACGTTTGTGTTATTTTATAAACGGCTTAAATTTTCAAACCATTGAATTACCTTTACAATTTTTTTTAGTCAAAATGTAACTTTATTCCGTGTTTTTTAAAGTGAAAAAAGGACATTAAAGTCGCTTGACGCTCATTACTTAGGCTTAATAAAAATAATTAACAATACTTTCATTGATATCCACGCAAGCCCTAATTCCGTATTCGACTTTCGATTAATGTATGGATCCAGTTTATCGTTCGCGCAATCGATTTATTTATCGAGTTTATCGATTATTGAGACGTTCACTGATCTTATCTCGGTACTTATGTGATTACTTAATATTGATTAAGCCTTTAATGGACTTTGCAAGATTAAATTTGACATTATTTTTGGCCGTAAGACAAGGAAATAAGGTCTAAAATATGGTGCAACTATCTACCTAGTAAAGGGACTATAACTTTCAAAGGTTTGTGTCAAATCGATTTGACTTTTTGACATTATTTTCATGAAGCGCGTGATTTCTTAAGATGCGTACATTGTATAAAATTTATAAATGTTAAATGTAACAGCTTAAAATAGAATTTTGATGAAAAGAAGTTTTTGCGATCGCCATAATATTCGCTCGCGGGCCGAACATTGCGGGCGTGCGTTCACTGCTCTCGTAATTTCATTCATACGCGCGTCATTTATCCGTCGTGTAAAGTTAAATATCCGTCATTATTTAATCAAAAAATGCATTGACCTTTAAAATTGTTTTGATAAATATTTACATTGAAAACTATTTTTATGCGTTTTTAAAAGGTGCAATTTTGAAACTTTGATGTGCCTGTTATTATACGAACACAAGTTGTAGGTAATTTTTTCTCAACTTTAAATCATGAATAACTATAGTTTACTAAATGTTTAGTATTTTATAGGTACGTAAAGGTCAATATGAAATAGGTCTCTACTATTATAAAGATCTTTGCCAATATTTTCAATTTAAACTTTATGCGTTTTTGAATATCAAAATCATTATATTTCGTTCAGATACATTGTACGGACGACTGCACATCAAGTTTAACACAGTTGCGTCTTTATATCATTGTAATACTGGTGGTTTTGCAACAAAAATGTCAAGTATGATGTGCCTGTCGTCTCAATTTCAATACTCTCGCAAACATAACACCGGCAATGTTCACTATGACTCTGAGGTCACAGCTTCCATTCCTTATGATGCCATTATAACACCACTATAGAACAAGCGTCAATAAATCGACTGATATAGGACTTTGAACCGTATAGATAGGAAATTAAGGATATCTATTGAGATGAAAGTGCACAAAATATTGATGTTCAGTTGGTTGAGAATGGAGTTTAGTTGATACAGAGACGAAAGTTTTATTTTTATCTTTCTCATTCTTCAATGGTCTTGCCCTATAAACTTTGTAGATGTACTACAGTCGCCAGCACATCATACTCTACGAGTACCTACGTCATATTTATTGCAAAATCGTACATAATATATAAGATGTAACATAATAGTAAATAAGATGCCACAAACAGTGTTTAGCTGAACCTGTCATTGTCCATACTCTGCATCTACGATAATTTGTTCTAGGAGATTGGTTAGGTACCAATCAATATTTTGGATTTACTGAACCGATTTCGCAAATTCTTTCAGCTGGAGAAAAATTCAATAAGTAGGTTCTTACTTTCTTTGACGACCCGAAATCCACATTGATAGCGGCTGAAGCTATTCGTTCGTTCGTTCGTTTCAGCCAAATGACGTCCACTGCTGGACAAAGGCCTCCCCCAAGGTTTTCCACAGATCTGGTAAAGGTCGCGGGAAGAGCCTGGATGCGGGCAGCGCAGGACCGTTCATTGTGGAAAACCTGAAGCTATTAATTTAACAAAATGCAAAATCAATCCAAAAATATCTATCACTGCACTAACGCGTAACCGAATCGAAATCGCATCCATATTGTCTAGCGAGTGAGAAAATCACGACGTTACTACACAGACAGACAAAATTACTGTTACGGCAATAACGTAATAGTAATCATCCGTCTTGCCGCCAGTGATGGGAGAGGTCTCTACTTTCTTTATCGATAAAAGTAGATGTATTTTATCGTATTTCAAAAAACATTCTAATCGAAATAAAAATTGATGTCGATATTGATCTTTTTGGCAAAAAATAAAATACGATGGGAGATTTAAGTAAAATAAAAATTGATTTAAACTAATAACAATGTAGGTTACGTGATTGAATGCTCATTATAAGCCTTTTTAATTAATTATTTTGTATTTGATCCATAATTCGTTCTGCAGCAAGAAAATAGAAAATAAATGTTACACATGGTCTCGCTCGCGGAAATCAGATCTCATTGCATTATTTACATTTAAGACAAAAAACATCGATATAACAAACAACGATCTGGTTACATCACTATTAATGTCAAGACAAATGTTATTGTGATGTACGACCGGTCATTATTTCGATATTTCTCTATGATTCATTGTTTTGCCAAATGTTCTGCTACTTGCCACCCAATTTGATATTGTAACACTTTGGTGTCGTGACGAAAGAAACTTATCTAAGGAAATCTTCTTCTATGAGAGGACCAAAAGTCGAAATGATATGATATTTGTCTACACTGTTATATGAGACAGTATAAAAAAGATATTATAATCGATAATCTTCTTCTATAATGTAATTTCACACTTAGGAACCGAACCCACAACTACTTTTTAGTGTAGGTGTTTGGAGTTGTTTTTTTTTGTTAAAATTAATTATCTCAATTTTCTTTTGACTAAATCCAGTATCTAAAGCAAAATAATGCTACGGAAAAACGTGGAAATTAGCTTTATTTAGTAGTTCCTGGAAATTTCAACACTTCCAAACAATTACCTATGATTCGCTAATGTGAGATTTTACTACCAGATCAAAAACTGTTCCCAATTGAAATGGAAATTACTTTTTGTGCCTAAAAATCGCTGTTTTCTCTACAATCTTTAGCTACTCTACACAATTGACATTGCCTCCGAATTCTTCACACGTATTTAAGTTTTTTGTTTTATTCAATGGTTAATTGTTAGGCACGAATACACAATTAAGTTATTGGTTGTATTGTTACTTTGTATGTTTTGTCTTTGACGCCTCTTGTCAGCTTGATGGGCTAATCGTAGGGAATTTGGTTTTAGCCATTGAGATATGCGAGCTATTCAACCTTGAATTTTACATTTAGAAAATATAGTCGATTATGATTCGGATAGTGCTTCGAAAATATAGGGTCTGTGCTACACGAAGCACAAATATGTCATTGTTATTCGCTTCGGCGAGAAAAGGCAAGACAAGTTGATAGGACAATACCTACGTGAAAACGATATTAAATTCTAACTAGTTTTCTTTTTACAAAAATAACTAGGTTTATCACATCTAACTTAAAAAAATTGTCTGTCGTACAAAGATATTGTTGGCAGTCGGTCCAATGGAAAAAAAACCTTTAAAAGAATGAAAGACATTTGAAAATATTCCTTTTAGAGGTTAGCCCTTTATCAATCTTTATTTAAAACAGTAAGTTTAAAAAACATACCCCCTTACTAATAAAACTTACACGCTCGTTGAACAGTGTTTTAAAGTGACGTTTAGTATGGAAATGTCATTTTAAAACAGTGTTCTACAAGTGTGTAACTTTTTATTAGTGAGGGGGATAGATAATATCATAAAAAATGTACAAATTAATGCATGTTTTTTTCGTCATCCTATAATTTCAACACAGCTCAATTGACAGACCAAAGTTATGCAATTTAATACAATTAGACTGCACACAGGTTTTACAGGTTTAGATGAATCTTGATACTTGCATGTATAAAATTAACAAAGTAGAAAGCCGACTTGAGTCGTGTTATCAAATATGCAGTTAATTGTTTGAGCTTTCGCTTTTGCAGTGGTTTTTATGAAATAACTAAATTGCAATTTTAAAAGATTAGGATTTCGGTTTTTTGTGTTGCCACGTAACCAAGAGTTAAGCCATGTATTCATTAGGCAACATTTGTTGATAAACTGTTTATGACTAGTGTGAAACAAGTTTACCATAAACACAGGTTTCTGAAACTTGGCCGTCCACACTTGCTCTCCACTCATAACGGGGAACACGGCAACATGTATCATAAACAATGTTTAATCACATATTTTTATGGACTAATTATAAACTGTTTACAGAGATGATGAAACATTGTTTATGAACAGTTTATCAACAAATGTTTCCTAATTAATACATGGCTTTACTGATAAGGTGCAGTTAAGGCTTTGTTTTAACAACTAGATGTATTGGAAAAGTGTAACAAATTAATTTCTATGGAATGATGTTGTCTGTTTATGAATTAACTACTTACTTACATAATAAATTACATAGTAAAGACTAATTGTGTTAATTAATTGTGATTAGAGTACTTCTAATAAAAAATATTTCCAAAATGCAGTGAAAATGTTTTGGTTCTTAGTTTTTATCTTTGTTAGTCTCGAGATATTTTAAGCAATATCAGTTATTTCAAATATTATTTAGATTTCGCTAAACACTAAAAAGCGCTGGTAAACTTAAAAAAACCTTACCTTTCTGCTTGAAGTCATGTTGATTATCCTAATTTTGTACCTGTAAATTAAGAATTTGCATTTTAACTTTTGAATTTAATTTTATTTAAATATCATTCTCTCATCTATAATCACAGTTCATAACACTTAGGAATAATTATTTTTCAAAATATTCAAAATCATTTGATCATTCATAATAATCATTCGTTTATAAATTATTCGATGCCAAATAAAACATATTAATTGTCTTATTTATAATATAATTATTTATTATTTGTGTGTGTAATTTTTTGTTACTCAATCGTTATTATTTTCTTTAAAGCGATTATAATTTCCAATCAGTGAATAATACTCATATTTGAGGAAATAAATCGTTTTGTTCCGGTCTTTAAAATAAAATGACAAGGAATTAATTATTATTTTTGCAATTTTCCGGCATACGTTAAAAACAGGCCATTAATCTTCTTCATTTACTGTAGAAAGTGCATTTTACAAATAAGCAGAAAACATTATGTCAGATTTTATTAAGGCCTAGTTTTTCCTGAGGCTTTGTTCACGAGAATTTGGGTTTGTTGCAATGTTAATTCCTTAGTTGCAATGTTAGTACACGAGTTTTAAATTTAAAACACTGTCTACTAATTAACATTGCAAACATGTGAAATAATCAATTTTTTATACAAAATTTCACACTCAATTTTAATTTCCATCAAGTTTTACAATCGTGACAAAAAGTAGTATCCTTCACTTAGGTCCAACGTGTTTCTACTATACTAATATTTAACATTTGGTTCAGTAGTCTAAAAATGAAAAGGTAACAAATACACATACCGAGTTACTTTCTCATTTATTGTTGTGATGTGAGATTAATTTCTTGAAATGTCATCAATCATTTATTATATTATTGATATTTATTTATAAATTGTAGATGTAGAGTCCATAAATATGTACTTTTAGTTTTACTTGCACGAAGTTTTATATATCTGACGTGTATTTACTACCTGACGTGTATTAAAAATATAAGATTTAGACTCCGCCGTTATCCGACACTATCCGAAACTTTTGAATCGGTTACGGTCACGGAAATTTTTTTATTTCTGATATCTGATAGTTTCGGTTACGGTTACGGATATCCATAACATCCCTAGGTGATATTGACATAAATGACGTGACAGAGCATACAAATATGAAGCATATTTGAAATCTTGCTGACGTTTTTGACGTCCTAAAACACCCTCCCGGTACGCTCACATACATCACGCACTGACGAGTTAAGTGCTAGATCTACAGGGTGTTAGGTAAATGGGTATATGAGCCGACACTAGCCCATGTTAACATGGGCATATAAATGGTATGGTGAAGTCAGAAATTTGATATCATTATTTTAATTTTTTTAAATAAATTTTATAAAATCAGATTTGTATGAAAATTAAAATAATTAAAATGAAGATATCAATTTTCTGAATTCACCATACCATTTATATGACCATGTTAACATGGGCTAGTGTCGGCTCGTATACCCATTTACCTAACACCCTGTATAAATAGCTCATCAAGGTACTGTGGCGTCTTATGTAGATGTAATAGGGTCGATTTTGCAACGAAAATGTATAGTCTGATGTGCTACTGTTCGAACAATTATCACAAAAACTACATTCGAAATTGAATAAATCGCACCTCCAAGCACTTTTAAACGTATGCATTGCCACCAATATTGGCACCATTTAAAAGCCTAGTTCTAAACTTCATTTCATTAAAGAAAAGGTTTTTACCCCAAAAATGTGTCTTTAGAAGGATCTAGAGTCACTTCTTCAAAAAATATGTAGTTGAGCTAACTTTTTAGCTTTTTTCCCGTTTGAGACGCTTCCCGAAGCATTCAGCCTTGGGGCTTTTTGCAACGTTATCTTTTATGCATAAAAGTTTTCAAATGAAGACATTCTGAGATTATACTACATTATCTATGTACAGTGGACAGCACATACATAAATATTCATTGCAAAATCGACCCTATTACAGGTACATAAGATGTCATTTACTACACAAGAGGTCAGTTAATCAATATTTAATATTAATTAATCGATACGACATCGTAAAATGGTACAGTCGGGCTTGTGCTTATGTGGACATATTTAAAGTTAACGTACCTAGCGGAATATAGCAACAAAGAAATGATCGAGAGAGATGTCACTAGCAGCAACACTGTGATAAAAAGATGCGTGATGTCGTCGCCGTCACGTCAAACAGAACCGTTTTTTGCAACTATTTGACAGTTCGGAGGCACTTAGTAGCACACTGAAATTTTTTGAAATCTGAGGTATTTTTAGATTTTCGTGAGTGAAATCGTGGATGTTCATGAGAAATAGTGCTTCATAAACGTGGTCACTGGTTCAAGGATTGATTTGTTATAGGTACAAAACAGTGAAATAATTCTGACACTGAAACACAAATGATATCCAGTGTCAACCAAAATTGGTTTCGTTTGACAGCTCGTGGTTTTTGCTCTATTCCGAATGCAATAAAGTACTTAGAGCCTGATATTTTATTGAATCAAACATGTTTTCGGCGTCGACTGTACTTGTAAAATTAAATTTATGGAACTATAAATGGTGATTTATGTTAAATTTACCATGTTCAGAGGGGTATATGGAAAAGTATTGCCAGAGACAAGATAGACGTTTTGAAATAGCCACTGCCTACTGAGAAATGCAGTTATTGGATATTTATTACTACATGTACCTATCTGTAATCTATGTTTTTATTAAAAGGTAATGCACTGAGATATCTTGGTGGTCAGGACGTTAATTCAATTCAGACTTAGGCCCAGAACAGACGGTGAAACGCAACTGCAACGAAACTGCAACTGCTAGTTACTTTTGAGTTGCATCTAAGTTTCTGTCATAGCGTCCGTTGAGAGACCACACATGACGCGACCAGATTGAAACTTTCAGTTTCAATTTCAGTTTCATTCATCAGAATCATCGGAAAGTTGCAGTTTCGTTGCAGTTGCGTTTCACCGTCTGTTCTGGGCCATAGAGTTATAAAGGATAGAGAAGCTAACGCAAGCAAAATTCTTGCTCCAATTTGGAAAGAATTAAAACTATAGTTCGCTGCAGCTGCTGCATATAAGTTTAAAGTAAAAATAGCAGTCAATTCAGAAAATGGAGAAAAGATGCAATCCTACAGATACTTAAGTATTCATCATCATCATTTCAGCCATAGGACGTCCACTGCTGAACATAGGCCTCCCCCAATGATTGCCACAATGGCCGGTTTGTGGCGGCTAAGATACATAAGGAAAGTAAAATTACTATACCTACTCCTATTATTATACCAATAAGCAAACCTTAATATTAACACACTTAGAAAATATATAAAATTCGTGCTCATCATATTAACTCTACGACATCAAAAAACTATTCAGCGAAAACCTAGTTAGTACCTAAAGTGGCCAAAAAGTTGACAAACTTTAACTTGGGTGTCACGAACTACACTCAACATCAAATAAACCGCACCATCCGCGATGCGAACTTTAAAGATTTCATTTCATATATATATATACAATCATGATGCCCCAACAATATTGGTACTATTTGAAAGCCCAATAAATATCCTTAAAGAAAAACGCATTTAATTTCTTAATAAATTATTAACATAAATGTGACTTGAAAAAAGACCTCACTTTGGGCTCACCTCTGGGATCAATTAGACCAATTTTTATGGTTTTAAAACCAAATAATGATCTCACGTGTCCTCTTTAACAGATGGATAACGACTAATCCCAACTTAACAATAATTTTATAGCCATAAAAGTTGGCTCTAGCGTAACTACCTATTTTTTGAAGAAGTGACTCTGGATCCTTCTAAAGACACATTTTTGGGGTAAAAACCTTTCCTTTAATGAAATGAAGGTTAGAACTAGGCTTTCAAATGGTGCCAATATTGGTGGGAAGTGGGGAAGCATACGTTTGAAAATGCTTGTCGCAGGAGGTGCGATTTATTTGATGTCGAGTGTATTTGAAACATGCTGACTAGACAACAATTTAAACTTAAATAAATTTTCTAAAACCACCACCACCAGCCAAGTTTCAAGACTTGACTAACGCCCGTATTCACAAACATTACTATGAGGGCGCACAGTGCGGGTGAACGCACAGGGTGACACACGAACTAGTCACAGAGCTCTATTCAACGCTGTGCGTTCGATTTGCTGCTAAGCAAGTATCGTTTGTGAATACGAATGACAGAGCTCTATTCAACGCAGTGCGTTCGATTTGCTGCTTCACTTAAGCAAGCATTGTTTGTGAATACGGGCGTTAGGATTATGTCTGATAGTCGATACTTCAGCATCGGACCATAACTTACTCTTATGTATTTAAATGTACATAATGAGTCAAGACGTAACCTTCCCACTGTAAGAGCTAGATTTACGTTTCGCCTACAATTCTATCCAGTCATTGGAGGCATCCCACGCTACATTGTATTTGGATTCGTCTAATCACTTTATTGTGGTTTCAAGAATGCAGGGTTTCTGCAAAATTGTTAGAGTTTTAATAATATCTTTTTTCAAAATCGTACTGTAATTTTCAAAAAGTGTAAGTATTTACACGTTTCACAATAATCGGGTCAAATAGTGTGGGCCAGTGCTGAAAAGTAGGCAACCTTATTATTTTCAGCTTCTTTCATAATTGTACAATAATAAATGCAATATATTTTCTACTTTTCGTTCAACAATATTTTATGCAATATCAACATATTTTCGCTTTTTAGCAATGATCTAATTTAAGCCCTGAAGCAGTGAAGATGGGCATAAACAGTGAAAAGTTCTTTTACGCTTTTTAAAATAGCTAACTTAATTTTAGGGCCTAAAATAGCTTACCATGACTTTTTCAGTAAATCCTATTGCACAGAGAGCACAAATTTTACAAGTAGTTTATTTGCTACTTAGCAAAACAATTATTAAATAATGTTGTTATTTAATGATTGTTCTTTAACTTCTATAACGAATGTCACGCTGTCTACAAGCACCACTAGCATAGACATGATTTCAGAGTAAACCTAACCTTAACTTTTCAAAGCTCATCAGACCACATTCTGTAGCAAAATATCACCTATTTCCACAGCATAAGGCGCTATTTTTCGCTTGATCAGCCGTCATAGTTATCATAATTAATAGTGACATTCGTTCAAAACGCATTTATTGTGCGTGAATGCAAATTCTGTTTATTACTGCCTCCAGTCATTGTAGACAAGTCTGTGGATCCATTTGTTTAGATTTATCGATACGTTTGACACCATTCTACTGCAGCTAATCAAGATTTTATTACTATCGATTTCAATTTAATTTATAAGTCGTATAATATTTTAATGGCGTTACAGGGTAGCTATTGGATACTCATTTAAGTCTGGTCTTCCTGCTTTCATAAAGCAGTCTTTAAAACACAATTGAACTATGAATAATTAGCTTTGACCCCCGGCTTTGCCCGCGTTAAATTCAGTTTGTCAGAGATCGTTATAAATTATAACTAAAATTCATTTTAATTTTGCATGTAGGCTTTTAAAAAGCTCTTATACGTCCCAGTATTAACCCTATCACTGCTTTGGGACAAAAAATTGTCCTATATGCAATGCTCTGAAGTGTCAAAGAAAAAAAAATTCACTGAAAGTTTAAAAAAAAAGTCATACATCCTCTTCAAAGGACATCATCCATTTTGGTCCAAAATCAAAAGTGCCGGCCAAAAAATAAAAGTGCTGTATTCTGATAGAATACGTCCGCCTTAGCATTTATTACTATGGCACCAAAGCTGTAGCACCACTGTGCATCGTAGTATTTGAGCTCTAAAAATATATGAAACGACTGACTTTGATCTCAAATACTACGATGCACAGTGGTGCTACAGCTTTGGTGTCATAGTAACAAATACTAAGGCGGACGTATTCTGTCAGAATACAGCACTTTTTTTTTTATTGGCCGACACTTTTGATTTTGAACAAAAAATGTATGAATAATCGATGACTTTTAGATCTCAAATACTCGACGCACAGTGGAGCTACGGCTTTGGTGCCATAGTAACAAATGCTAAGGCAGACGTATTCTGTCAGAATACAGCACTTTTTTTTGTTGGCCGGCACTTTTGATTTTGGACCAAAAATATATGAAACGTGGATGATGTCCTTTATAATATTGGTAGGATCATCAGGTCATTTAGTCTCCACTGCAGGAGCATGACTTCTAATTTACCAGAGGAAAATGGAGGATTTGGCATACACTCCACTCGCTAGCCAAGCGAGACTTTGTGACCGATTTTCTTAAGTCAAAGTCAAAGTCAAAATTAAATTTGTTTAGACTAATAAATAGTTCTTACAAATCGTCATATGCTCTTAAGGAGCCTCTACATGTCTCATAATCTTTTTACCCTACCAGCGCTTCGAGACCAACATTTGGCAAGTGCTGAGAAGAAGCGCCGCAACAAACTCAGTCACCACTGTCTGCCGGTTAATATAAATAAATAGAAATAGTAGTAGTTGGTAGGTACATTCGATTCAGGATTCTTGATTTACTTATTACTCTAAAACTTCTTTTCAGCACTGGCCCATTTATTGTCCCGAAGCAGTGGTAGGGTTAAAGTAATACTGAAACTAATAGCGCTTTTTAAAAGCCTGTTTGAAAACAAATGAGTTTTATAACTTGATGTTCACATATTTTTTCTAAGTCGCCTTTTACGATTAGGGCGACTTATTTAGCGATGTAGTCGTGAACTTAGCTACGCCAGAGGTCGCGGGTTCGATCTCCGCACAGTCAAATGTTTGTGAAAGATAATGTTTAACATTTGAAAATTATTTTAAATAACTTACAAAATGGAACTGCTTAAGTTTATCATTCAAACAAGTATTTTTTTGCGTGTAATAAGTGTAATATTTTATGGTTTTGGTTATTATAACTTCAACCACAGAATAATAATAAGTACTGCTTCAACTATTAACTTTAACTGTTTGTTATTTGGCAGAGATTGGCTTATGGCATTAAGTTCGCCTCATATGCTTATTTAATATAGCATTCATTATTGCTTATTTTAACTGTAATAAAATATTATAATTAGTTACTTTGAGAATACCTATTTCTAATTGATTTATATTTTTTTATAAAAAACAGTTTTAAATAATTTATAGCAAAGCCTTTCAGTTAATTCAAAATTGCACACAAACTCAGTTTTAATTGTTTAACAAATTAACCCTCAAAAATCCAAAACACAAAAACCAATTCAACCCAAAAAAATTCATCCCGCAATCCGTAACATCCCAAACGTTTTCCCATCACAGATAATAAAACACAAACCGCTGGTCCTACGTACTTTTGTTTTCAATGCACTGCACTTCACACACACACCGACGTTCACTTTACTTGTAGGTCAACTGAGACTGCGGCCGAGCGAAGATGGGAACTCTTATATAGTTGAACTTGGCAACTCGAGGGGGGGTTTCCGGGTTGAAGGAATTCGGAATTGGAGTGACGGGATGAAATGGGATGAACTGGTTTAGGGTTGGACCTTGACTGTCAGATGACGTGCTTATGCGAATTTAAGCAATTTGAGTTTGTTCCGGCGTTTCTTCTCAGCACTTGCCATATGTTTGTCTCGAAGCGCTGGTAGGGCCCAAAAGATAAGGAGACATGTAAAGTGCCCCATAAGGGCTACCCTTTTTTTATATATTTGACGTTCATAAGTGCCACTTGTGGTCTAAACTGAATAAATGTTTTTGATTTTGAATTTTGATTTTGATTTTGATTCGGTAATTTGTGAAGCAAGTGATAGTATAAATAAGCCATTACGGTAACATAAATATAACTTAATTGGACTGTTTTACTTAGGTATTGGTTTAAAAAATTATTCTGTAAAAAGGTGGCGGTAGAGACAAAGATTTTGTGTGGTTTGTCGTAATGAAAACATTTCGAGGGTGAGACATTTTTCTTTATAGAGCATTCTTAAATAATATGAATTCTTAAATAAAATTAGATCATTATGTCATTATGGAGATAAATTAAGGGTAGTAGGTGTAAGTTGCTGTTGACAGATATAGAGGTATTATTGTTTGAAAAAAAGTTGTGAAAATGGATCAAGTTTCTAAAAAAAATCATGGAGACACATGAATATAATATTTTGGTATTTCATGAGAAGGTAAAATGTTATGTAATTGTGTTAAATTGTATGCATTTGGATTTAGTCTTTCAATAGCTATAATTTAATTGTATAGAACTACACGACAGCTTAATTATAACAACTTTTTAGACGTATTTGAGAGTATCCGGTTTTTATTATTGCATCAATTTTCATAGATTATTAGTGTAGTACCTACTTATTTATTGGTTCTCAGACCTTGAGGTCCTAGATTCGATGCTAGTTTTATTTCTTCAAATATCATAGCAATTAGATAAAATTCAAACTAAACAGTGATCTATGCTATAACGATTGGTATAAGAGTGATTTTGAGACATTGGAATGAGTGTGATACGAAAATGTATACTTAGTAATGTGTTGATGATATATTGTTTTAAACTTTCATGGTAATGATCCGTGATCATGGCGCTTGCAACAGTGCCGAAATATCGGAAACTGGAAATTAAGGTATATGGTAGCAATCCCGTCAGTAATAATTATTCAGTGTGTTGATTTGTCATCATCTCTAAGTACTATTTTGATGTTACTTCCATTATAATTGCTAACTAAATACTTAGTTTTAGTTAAATATTGAGTTTTAACTATACGCCAGCCGCTAAGGTGCTCCAGTTCGAGCCAAAGGTCACGGGTTCATTGCTCGCGGAGGGCAAAAGGTGAAAATGTTCTCGCCGGGAACTGAGTGAACTATATGCAACTTCATTTAGGCCTGATAGGTGACTGGTAGATAACATTATCTAAACATCCACATGGATTAATGCATCAGGTTTTATGTGTAAAAATAATTATCATAATATTTTTGTAGAGTTTAACACTGTTTATTTTGAAGTTTATAATGGCTGACTTAATTCCTTTGTATCTACCGCCCTACCAAAGATTCGGTTTTAAAATGTGTACCTATTTTGCAAAAATCTCAAGAAAAGCTTAGCCAAACCAAATAAACTGCCATTTATAATAATGAGTAAAAGTTCTTAATATCTCTATCATCTTATTAAAACATCTCATTTAAATTAAATACAATTTAAAAACAATCACCCATTGCTACTCGATTATTTGCACAAGCCATCAAGATTTGCAAACCACTCAGCCCGTCACACTGACGTTTGACAGTGACAAATGACGTTTCAGATGTCAATCGGCGTTGACGTGCGACTCGCGCGCAATTGTATCGTCTGGTCGGCTGGTTTTTAAGCGCCTGTTTAAGATTAGTGTCCATTAAGTAAGAACTCAGACAGAAGAAGAATTCGCTGCCTGCTGCTGTCTTTCCCGAATAGTATAATACGGGCCTTTTCAATGCACTTACAAGGCAGATAATGTACCTACCATCCTTAACTGCATCTCACTTAACATCAGGTGCGATTGCGGTCCAAAACCTGCCTTGTTCTGCATAAAAAAGTTCTCGAGTAGCGACCACGGGACAAACTTGACCTTCACTGGTTGGCTTTTTATAGGCCTGGCTACACAGGAGTTGAAGCGGCGAATGAGAGGTGGGGATACTCGAGTCGGAAGACGGAAGTGTGATGTGTACGGAATGTCTCGGAAGTGAGATGCATCACTTAACATCAGGTGCGATTGCGGTCCAATATCTGCCTTGTTTTGCATAAAAAAAGTTCTTGAGTAGCGACCACGGGACAAACTTGACCTTCACTGGTTGGGTTTTTATTGGCGGTCAAGCTGTAGATCCTGGCTACACAGGAGTTGCAGCGGTGGGAACGAGAGGTGGGAATAGTCCCGGTGCGACCACGAGTCGGATGAAGTAGTGTAGGTAAGCAAGCCGTACTCAGTAGACCGATGACCTGGTGAGGGTCGCGGGTAGCATCTGGATTCGGATAGTGCAGGACCGGTCCTTTGTGGAAGCTTTTTTAAGCTCTTATTGCAGGCTGTGGATGGCTTAGTTTTACTAAAATTTTATCATCGTTTAAGAAGAGTCCACTGCTGACATAATGAAACTCAAAACACCTGCCATTTTACCCTGTCTTCAGCTTGTCTCATAATTTAATATACATAAACGGTAACTCTATGCTTTTTAGAACTAAACCTTTGGCAGTAATCAGATATCTACTTTAAAATAGTAAAATAACCAATTATGCCAAATTAATTTAATGTAAATTTTATTTCCAATACGTATTTTATTACCTTTTTCACACTTAATAGAACATACCGACGCCATTTTGAAGTTAATAGATAATAAATATCTGTTTAATTTTATAGTGATGTGGGCAGTGTTTTAAGGTGATTAAATGTTTAATGGTTAATATAAATGCACCAGAAGGTTAATTGTTGTGATTTGGCGCCAGAATATTGAAATTATTTTATTTCTATATCAATTTGTGCAGGTATAATAGCGCATAACTGTACAGGGGGCGTCCGTTAATTACGTGAGACAATTTTGTCCATTTTTCAAGACCTCCTTGGTGAGATTTGGTGAGATTTTCCCAGAACCCCTCCCCTCCTCACAATCTCACGTAAGATTTCTTAAAATGCGTATTTACAATGTAAATGTAAATGTAAATCTATGCTTGGATTAGTATTTATTACAAAAAAACTTTTCTTCTAATTTGTTTATTGTTTAGACGGTTTAGAATTAAAATTATAATATTTTTTTTTATTTTATTTAAAGCAATTGTACCTTGTTCCTTGCTGAAAAAAATACGTGATATTTGTCGAGACTCCTCCTCTCCCCTACGTGAGATTCAGTGAGATTTTTCTTGACCCCCTCCCCCATAACATCTCACGTAATTAATGGACACCCCCATAGGCTCCTGCGATAGTGGAATTGCTTGGGAAGAGTGACATGTGACGTACTTAACTATAAATAAACATTCTGTCAGCAAAATTTTATTTATGTAACAAAATTGTCAAACTTTACCTTTATCAACATTGTTTTGGTGTAATTATTTATAATATCTGTTTAATAAGCACTAACTTACACAATAAGTTCGTTCGTTTCAGCCAAATGACGTCCACTGCTGGACAAAGGCCTCCCCCAAGGTTTTCCACAATGAACGGTCCTGCGCTGCCCGCATCCAGGCTCTTCCCGCGACCTTTACCAGATCGTCGGTCCACCTAGTAGGAGGCCTGCCCACGCTACGTTTTCCAGCCCGTGGTCGCCACTCGAGAACTTTCCTGCCCCAACGGCCATCGTCTCTACGAGCTATGTGCCCCGCCCACTGCCACTTGATTTTAGCAATTCTGCGAGCTATGTCGGTTACTTTGGTTCTCCTACGGATCTCCTCATTTCTGATTCGATCACGCAGGGAAACTCCGAGCATAGCCCGCTCCATCGCCCTTTGGGTGACCTTGAGCCTTCTTATGAGGCCCACAGTAAGCGACCACGTTTCGGATCCATATGTCAACACTGGCAACACACACTGCTCGAAGACTTTCGTCTTGAGACACTGCGGTATTTCGGACATGAGTATATGGCGAAGCTTCCCGAACGCTGCCCATCCGAGTTGGATTCGACGATTGACCTCTTTCTCGAAGTTGGACCTACCTAACTGGACTGTTTGTCCCAGGTATACATAATTGTCGAGGTATACAGGTATACACAATAAGTATGGATACCTAAAACACAGGCAAACATTTTTGCTTAGTTTAGGTATATACTACTACCTTAATTAAAATATTGTTACTAACCAAATAATTTCATAGCCCCATTTAAGTTTCTTGTATTTAGGCTAAGTCTTTATTCAATAAATTTATCTTATCTTATCTTATCTTATCTTAACAGATTGTGACAGAGCTGTAACATACATGACGCCGGTATATCTGAAGTTTCGCTGACGTGTTGACGTAATTATGTGCTAATTGACAAAAGCGTAGCATTATTGACATGCTACTTACTTTCCCACCTCTCGTTCCCACCGCGGCAACTCCTGTGTAGCCAGGATCTACAGCTTGACCGCCGATAACCCAACCAGTGAAGGACAAGTTTGTCCCGGGGGAAAGTTTAACTGTCATTGGACTGATTATTTTAACAACTAGTAGACAGTGAGTCTTACGTTATCAATATTGGCTCTAAGCTGTCGATCGATATTGCAGGTTGACAGTTGTTGACAGTTTTATCTATATCGATACAGCTTCACGCGCCGCGATGCTATCGGGGGTTTTGCGCCATCGTCTGACTAATTGAGGTCTAGATAAATAGATGTAAATAACAAAATCTTGTTTGCTTATGTTTGTTAACATCGCTAAGAACATAATCTGTAGTTTGTTTTTTGCAGTTATGCCAGAACTAA